TGTTTGTTATCTTGATTAATTCTAATTAAAAATAATAATTAGAAAGACTACCTATGTTTGAATGAAATACAACCCAATGAAAATACTATTTTTGTTAAAACATGTTAAGTCATGATTTACATCTTTTTAGTTTATGTAAATCATTGATAAATTACTAAGATTAATTACAATTACAATTACAAATAATTAGAATGTACAAAATGTTAACATCGAAAGCTGTATACAATAGGAACAGTCACCAGCACAGTTATTATTGATCCTTGAAAATAGTTGTAGTGTTTTTTGAAATGAATTTAATTATCAACGAATATTGTTTTGAGATACGCTATGTATAAAAAGTAAACGAATAGGTATCGACCATCCTAATCGGTTCTGACGTGAAGTCATGCGTTCAAGTTTGAAAGGTAGGATAGCCGGTACCGCAATGCAATTGACCTCATGTCTCAAAGCGGCTGTATTTGCGTAGTTAATGCCTATAACCTTCGGTAACCGCATAATGTATAAATATTTCACGTGTCCACAACAATTGCAACGTTATGTCCTTTAAGTTAAACAAAATATATTAATATTCTAGGGCTGTTCTGATGTTGTAATATATTATTTTTTAACATTGTTCCTTAAAATAAAACTTATCAACATATTGAAGATAAAATTTCAAAATATGTGTAGAAAAGTCTATGAAACTGAGCGTAAGCCTAAGACGAAAACCAGTGACAAAAATAAATGTTACATAAATAATAACTGTTACAAGAAAATAAGACCTAAGTAATTATTTAAACCTCTAAATAAATAAAAAATTCGTTTCTATTTATTATTCATTCTGTTTTTTTAACACGAGAGAAGGTAAATATATCATAATAGGGAACCAAAAGAAAGTTGGAACGAATCGTGAATCCAATGAGAGCACCTAGTGACGCCCATCATGTTTCGAAATAATTCAGACGAACCATATGGATGTCGAAGAAGACTGAGCGCAGTATTGTGCAATCAGAACAAAGGAGGCCAGTGAAATCCGTGCACGTAGTCGTATTGTGACTTTCAAAAATAAGAATTAACAAAACAATTTTCTTAAGCACCGCGGTCATTGTTAGTTTTTTCTAAACGAACTAAATATATGCTAGCGCAAGTCATGTTATGACCATAGTAACGTTAATATAATTGGGATTAGTAATTTAGATTTTGTAAATGTAAACACAGATTTATATTAAATTGGAAGGGCTAGTGATTTATTAAAATTATTTATGTTAAATTCAACAATTACCAATAAAAACTACTGACAAAGCGTCCTTTGAAATGTAACGTTTTTGTCTTTAGTCTTAGAACTAAAATTCTAAGACTAAAGACTTTCGCATAAGTATATTTAAATTTAGCTTTCAGTTGATTGCAGCCACTAAATGAATATATTTGAATAGTTATGAAATCTTTACAAACCGATTTTTGTGAATTAATAAAATACTTGCAAATAACACCGTCTAATAACTTTGAAATCTAATCTTGCTCTATTTTTCGCGTCTAATTTGAATTACGTAGTTTAATCAAAGCGCACTTTAAAGGCGATGAGTTTTCATTTAATACTTATAGCAATCCCATCGTCTTGCACAGCTGTCGGACTGGTTTGTCCACTTGCATCCGATTGATTTAGCGTTAGCACACGATACAAGCCGATCATTCAATATACATTAGGTATTTTAATGATTATAAGTGTATAGGGAAATACTTACAAGGTTTACAGTATTATGAAAACATGAAATTACATATTATAAAATTCCAAAATTTTATTGACGGTCCACGTTTTCCTTTGCTAACTTCGAAAAACAAATTTGCAATTTATGGTAAAAGAAAACGAAATTATTTCTTTTAAAATTTGAATTTTTAGTCCCAATAGATAAATATTTCTCAAGCGTAAACTGCTCCTGATCGTATTACGAAACTCATTTATAAGTGTTCTCGAACCTTTCCTTTTTGTTAATTTGCTGTGTATGAACATACATTACGTATATGAATAACTTTAAACCTATGCCTACAATCCTTTCAGTGTTAAGATGAATGAAGTAACGAGTAAACGAAGGAACCCAAAGGAATCTCACTCGAATGAGAACTATTTTATGTTGAGAAATGAATGTGGCACCCACAACCATGTCGCTTATTTAAAAAGGTAACCGCAGACTTTCTGCTTATAAGAGCACTGGTATTTATTACTGAACCGATAATTTAAAATGAAGAGGATGGTAAAATTAAATGCACATTATCCGTATTCAGTGATGGTTTCTTTCGTAGGGGGTTTAGATATCAATGAATAATCATATTTTTGTGGAGCAGTTATCAAGACTTACCCATTCTATCCAGATATGATTCTTAAATGGGTGATCAAACTTTTATATTGTCGTGAGGGAGACGAGAAAAAAACGTATCTTCCTAGTAACAATATTTATGGCAAATTATTACATGATCCAAATATCATGTTTTTCATTTTTGGATCAACGAGGTCACAGCCCATCCGATACTGAGTGGTTACCAACCAGAGCCCATTTTTTTTTTTTTTTTTTTCCTACCTAAGCTGAGAGCCTTGAGAGGCTATGTCAGCGTAACCCTAACTTTTGTAGGTGAGCTCACGGGGCTCAAACCTGATGACGTTGCTAACACGAACCCTAGCAAGAGCCGTGCTTCGCAGAATCTACCACCGGATCGGAAACGCGACCCACTGAGAAGATCCGGCGAGAAACTCAGTGGGCNCGTGCTTCGCAGAATCTACCACCGGATCGGAAACGCGACCCACTGAGAAGATCCGGCGAGAAACTCAGTGGGCTGTGTCTGGGAGTTAATTTACTCGTCGAGCCCTTCGTCGCAAGCGACGGGTTCGACGAGAACGGTGACCGGTGCTTGAAGTACCTAGAAGCACCGTTAGTGGATCGGGAGGATCCGAGATGACGTGTAAGCCCATTGACATCACCAAGTAAGTACCGGCACCTTCCTTGAGACATGAGGCTGAAATCTCACTGCATATCGGCTGTCCCAATCTCTTCGAACTGGAATGGAATGTTTCGCGGCAAAAATAGGCGAGATGGTAGGCACCTGTAGGTTACGAAACCGAATTTACGAAATGCCCTACCACTAATTACTACGCAAATTTACGAATTTTCCCGGGTTCATTTTCCTTACAGGATGTTATTTCTTTATTATGAAAGTCGGTCGCGAAAATCTCTTATGTACTTATTTAATTTGAAAAATTGGTAACTGCCTGCATTATATGAATACCAGCATAGCCAATATCAGTTGATACAAGTACACCGGATTGTCTTAAGGTATATAAAGATATAAGTATATGGCCTTTATGTCCTAAATCAAATTAGACACTTAAAAAAAAAAAAAAAAAAAAAAAAAAAAAAAAAAAAAAAAAAAAAAAAAAAAAAAAAAAAAAAAAAAAAAAAAAAAAAAAAAAAAAAAAAAAAAAAAAAAAAAAAAAAAAAAAAAAAAAAAAAAAAAAAAAAAAAAAAAAAAAAAAAAAAAAAAAAAAAAAAAAAATCATGTCAGCAAATGTTACTCTATTTAACCACCTTAACGACATGTATGATTTTGAACCATGACAGGGTATCTTTCAAATTATACAAGTTTCATCCTTCCTCCTTTTATAACTAGTTATTTTAAACGAACAAACCCTGTATTTCAAGGCCGCATGAAATTTGAAATAAAAATAATAATGAAACACTATTCAATAGCTCTCTTAGAGAAATGCTTGGTTTTGGCAAGAAGTAAGCTTATAATTCACTAGTCCAAACCGAATGTCTAATTAAAATCCCATCACAAAAGTTGTTAACCAACAAATAAAAAAAAAAAAAAAAAAAAAAAAAAAAAAAAAAAAAAAAAAAAAAAAAAAAAAAAAATCTTTACAATTTTTACACTACCCTATAAATATTTCCGTTCCATCTTATGACCCACTAGATGGTAAGTGTTGATGTAGCTCATCGACATCAGTAATTCAAGGGGCACAGTGAAGTCACTACCCTCAATGAAAAGTTGAAAATAACCTATGTGAAAATTTAAAAGCTTAAGAAAAGGGAAAAATAAATTGATTCGTCTCAATTTGTTGAAGAAATTTGGCAAAGGTATTTTATTGGATATTCTGTATCTAAATGCAGTATTCTAGTCCCTAAATGCATGTTTCTAGTTTTAATTGAAGTGGGGTAAATCCAAACTTGATGGCATAATCGGTATTTATAAAATATTAAATAAAATACCTACACCTAGCCAATCTAAAACTAAAACATTAATGATGTGTTGTCTTTTTTATCACTGGTTTCATTTTTAAGTCTATTTTTGTTCCTTTTGCAATGGACATAAACAAAAAAGTGTGTACAAACACACTTTTTTGTGTACAAACACAATTTCACATATTTTTTTACCAGTTTCACCTCATTACTCAAGATAGATTTTGGATTGTAGCATTGTTATTTCTAATGACTGCTATATATAAAAGTGGATTGTGATCTATGTACCCTAATAAACTTTATTAACAAATATTTCATTTCAATCTATTATATGTTGTTAATGTATTTAATATAAAGGATGTTAGGTATAAATAATGTTAGTGATGGATATGTACTTTCAAAAATAATTGTATGAACACAAAATAAGCTTTAACACAAGTTTGATAGCACAATCAAGGTGACAATAAGAATAAAAACTGTTTAAGATAAGTACCAGTAACCACTTACCACCAAGAAGGCCAAAAGTTTCAACTGATTTACTAAATGGAAATGTAGTGAATTAACAATTGAATTTAGCACATTTTCCATACAGTTATCATCATCATTTATATATATATGTATTATCTTGTTTCTTGTATTCTATATGCATTATTATACTATATCTTATGCCATTTTTAACTTTACTGCTTACAACTTATCTCATAGTTTAAAAATATATAAAATTTGGTACTTGTTCAGTAGTATGATATCTTTTTGAAATGTATATTATCTTAAAAAGATTGAATGCCCACTCACCTAATATACAACACTGACGCACCATTGACTATTCTCCTCCACCCTAACGGCACTGTTATAGAAAGTGAATGTTCACTTTGTTGATTCCTTGAGTTGTTTTCTAAAGAATCAAGAGATGGTACAACAGGTGCAGGAAGTACTGCTAACACAACACCATCAGCAGTCCGAACCAGTTGTGGACTGCTACTGCTATCTACTTCATTAGCAATTCCATTGTTAACCCCAACTTGCTGGTTTAAGATACTTATACTTTGATTTACTATTGACTGATGAGAGACACTTTGTTCTAAAAATTGGTAGTTCACATAACTCTTTCCAATTGATAATTCTTGCTCACTACAGTTGGCTACTTCACCACTTTGTACTGTCACACTTTCACAAAACTGATTTTGCCCATGATGAATGGCCATTTGTTGCATATGGGGCATAGTACCATTGGAACTTCCCGGAATGACACATCTCAATTGAGTAGCTGTGTCTACAGTTCCTACAGGTAATCGAGCACTGAATGTTTCTACACAACCCAAATCTGAACTAAGTGGACCAGCACAGTCCTCCTGCCGATAGTTGCTTCCACTAGACCCTTCACTTTTTGTTTCTTCTACTTTAATACAGGAATCTTTGACATACTGCTGTGATACAGGATATAAATCTGGCAACTGAGTTATATTTTCAATAGACCCTAAACTGTCAATTTTATCATCACTGTCATTAAAATTCTTGTAAAACAATTGGTTCTGGTGCGATCTTTGTTCAACTCCTTCTGATTGTGTACGATAAAAAGATGATCGCAGCTGCGGCTGCAAATTATCAGGCAGGTATAGGGATTCCAGTGGCGAGTGTCGAAGGGTGTCCAGGTCGGGCGGTGCGGTGCCGGGCTCTAGCTGGCGCTGCTCCGCCACGTACACCAGCACGCGCGGCGCACCCGCCACGCCCGCTCGCGACGCGCCCACATTCGCGGGCTTGCCCGACATCGCGAACATACATTACACGATGCCACACTTTGGTACTCATTAGCTGAGTGCACCACAACGTGGTCTTCCAGCTGCCCAAATTGAACTGTTAGCAGCATAGCTCTGAATCCCTCGATCATATCTCGACAGCCTCCTATCACTTTGAGGCCGATCCACCATCGTCGACTAACACCTTTTTTTGCACCGATGTCATGAATTTTATTTTATGGTTTTATGACGGACTAACGACCCACTGATAGTTTTATGGCGGAGCCCTTTTCAACCCCATTGTTTATGAATGAGATTAGTAGAAAACAGTAGCAGCTACTTTTTATTGTATACAATTTCGGTGTTGGAACAGGCTACACAACATATTGTATTGAATATTGATACACTTTCGGTCTGTTTAAAAGGTCATTGAATTAAATGTCAGCTTCACTTCACCATCAAATCAAACACACCATTTCCATTTTCGCGTTTTGTAAAGTATTTAAAGTTGGCTTGTGAAAAAAACAAATGAAAGGCTGCTATTTAAAATTTCAGCATAAGATAAGTTTAGTGGAACACTGAAAAACGACCGAATGAAGTGATTCGTAAATCGTAGTTTACAGTTTACTGTTGTTCAATGACCGTGTTCAGTGACTTCACTGTTCACTCACTGTTCACAAATTTATTATCGAAAGTATCCTTTGGAACATAAACGAGGAATAGTCTCATTTCTCAATAGTACTCTGGAGCTTAAAAAACAGCCAACGCTTATGTTCTATCTTCTTCTGTAACTGAAAAGAGGTATTAGGAAAAAAGAGAAGCAAATATGAATTAAAACAACAGATCTCAAGAGTCAAACGCAGGTAAGCGACATCTGGTATTATCCTGCCACAACATGAAATGACATTCTCGTTTTACGAGGTTTTTCAGCTAAAGACTTATGGTTTTGTAAATGTGTAGATTAAAATTGCATGAAATACTTTTTCTATAGTTGCAGTATGTACGTGAACAAATAAAATGTAAATCTGCAATTAATTTAGAATCAGTATAAATTGTTTAATTTCAAAATAAATATAATGGGCTTAATTTTGTCTTCGTACAATATAAGCACGACGTGAAATACGTCAATGTGACAAATTAACATGGCTCTTCATATTCAAAACCATTAACATAAAATAATAATTTCCTACAAGTATATGAGTCGTCTATTATCAAAGGTGGCAATCTGTACATTTGGACAAAACATTTTTATTGATATGTCAATACAGATTTATTTGAATATAATCGTCTCCTTCAAAGAATACGGTTCAAAACCTGCATTAAATAAAGGTTAATAGTTAACCTGTTATTTATCTAAGATGTCGTTCCGAAGAGTTTTGTAACTGCCAATGGAATACAAANATAATCGTCTCCTTCAAAGAATACGGTTCAAAACCTGCATTAAATAAAGGTTAATAGTTAACCTGTTATTTATCTAAGATGTCGTTCCGAAGAGTTTTGTAACTGCCAATGGAATACAAAGTCAATAATTCGTTTTTCTGATTTACCAATCATTGTCCAAAAGTCAGATTGCCGCCTTTGATAATAGTCGACTCATATATCCTACGTGACGGACTAAGTTTCACTCGGTACATGTATCTTTACCTTACGAGCTGATTTAACGTCACTATGGCCGTTTTCCAATTACAGAGCATAATGCGACTCAGTGACGCACAATGCCGAATTATGCTGAAGCTTAGTTGAGCATTATGCCGCATAATGCGCTCTTGTGCTGTTATTGGAAAACGGCCTGCGTATTTAATTAGGAAAAAAATCAAATTCTCGTTAATCCTCTGCTTTTATGCTTTAAGCAATTGAGGTGGGTATAAAGCTGAGGTGAATGAAGTTAGCCCCTCAAAAAATTTTTTTTTTCCTATTTTATACTTATTTTCTATTAATTCGTTTGTTCAACATTTGTTCATGATTGTTCACTGTTAATAATTGTTTGTTCTGCATTTATTTATTTAAAAAAAATATTTAAAAATATACCTACAAGTTAGCCCCTCTAATGCAATTTTTAATATTTTTTCATCCTTAATGACTCGTAAATATTCATTTTCGATTGTTCTTATATAAAACACGTTTGTTCTCTTTCGAAATTACTCGTTTTTTGTTNATTCATTTTCGATTGTTCTTATATAAAACACGTTTGTTCTCTTTCGAAATTACTCGTTTTTTGTTTAATTTACTATTTTTATTAGTTGAATAAATGTATGCAAAATATGTGTACTGCGCATGCGTCAACTATAATGCCTAAACTTTCTACGCGGTTTTAATCGTGAAAAAAAAACAAATATAAATCCTGAAGGAGCAATTAATGGTATACAGTTTAATTAAAAAAATTAAAAAATAAATAAATGAAATAATGTGCATTGGCGTTAAGTTAGACCAAATACATTTTTTCCATCCTCCTACTTATCGTTATGAAGGTATAAAAAAGATAGGGAGTTCACATAGGTAATATAAACAAATAAGTAAATATGTTCATTATTTCTCTTTCAAGAGATAATATAGGTATACATTATAATAACTTTTTTACACAGTCGAAATTATATTCCTAACATTAGTAAAATAACATTTTAATACGATAGGTAAGAGGATGGAAAAAATGTATTTGGTCTAACTTAACGCCAATGCACATTATTTCATTGCTCCTTTAGGATTTATATTTGTTTTTTTTTTCACGATTAAAACCGCTTAGAAAGTTTAGGCATTATAGTTGACGCATGCGCAGTACACATATTTTGCATACATTTATTCAACTAATAAAAATAGTAAATTAAACAAAAAACGAGTAATTTCGAAAGAGAACAAACGTGTTTTATATAAGAACAATCGAAAATGAATATTTACGAGTCATTAAGGATGAAAAAATATTAAAAATATCATTAGAGGGGCTAACTTGTAGGTATATTTTTAAATATTTTTTTTAAATAAATAAATGCAGAACAAACAATTATTAACAGTGAACAATCATGAACAAATGATGAACAAACGAATTAATAGAAAATAAGTATAAAATAAGAAAAAACATTTTTTTTGAGGGGCTAACTTCATTCACCTATAAAGCTGGTAGCCCTGTTAGAGAGTAGGATTCTGTTTATATAAGATCTGTGAGTTACAGCTATAACATATTTATAGCAGGTATGGCTAAGTTCCTTTTGCCTGACCATGTGACCAATGTAAAAATCAAATAAAAAATTCAGCGCAGAGCACAGCATGACCAGTGACCACTTTTTATTTGTAATATTAAACTTGGAAGTAAAAACGCAAATTGTTTTCTGGTTAAAAACTTCATTGTTACTGATCTGTAAAAAGTAGAGCATAGTGTCACCCTTAAATATGAAACGTAGTTCCAGAAACTTTAAACACGAGATTAATCCTGTCAAAGATGAAGAATCACGGTGTGTAGCAAGTTTTTTTTGACCAGGCTGTAAAACTACTCTCACGAATTGTTCGGTGCAGATTACGCTCAATTACGAAACTATATAATTTTTAACGTAGCTTACTGTAAAATTTTAAGAACATCATTATAACCACAAAACCTGTAAACATGATAGTAAGAGTAAATGTACTTAACGGACTATTTAGATATAAGGGTTTTCGAGATGTTTTATTATTTAAAAAAAAACATTTTTTATAAAGTCTCCAAAAAGAATTTTTTATGGTAATTATAGTCTGGTCGGTTCCTGTGGCATTTTCAGCATGGTAAAATGAATATTTACTACATACCTACTAAACTTATTAACAGTTCCTGTTGATTTCACTTTTTTCTTTCTATTCTTTTACTTCTTTTATACCAAATATAAATAAACAAGTCTAATTACATCCATTGCCTCAGTAAATACAACTATAATCATTTAAAAAAAAGTGTCATTTAATCATTTAAAAAAAAAACATGACTAAATTGAAACCAACTCTCAATTACCATACTGAAGTTGCCAAATTATTTTTGGCTAACATTTGAAATGCAGTGGTGCCATATATATAGGTCCCATGCAAATGATAATCAAATAAAATGGACTCCCTACAACAGACTATTTTTTTTAGAGATTCTGTTGTTATTCCTTGTGAAAGTATACATTTTTTATATCTGAGTCGACTATTATCAAAGCCGGCAATCTGACTTTTGGACAATGATTGGTAAATCAGAAAAACGAATTATTGACTTTGTATTCCATTGGCAGTCACAAAACTCTTCGGAACGACATCTTAGATAAATAACAGGTTAACTATTAACCTTTATTTAATGCAGGTTTTGAACCGTATTCTTTGAAGGAGACGATTATATTCAAATNATTCCATTGGCAGTCACAAAACTCTTCGGAACGACATCTTAGATAAATAACAGGTTAACTATTAACCTTTATTTAATGCAGGTTTTGAACCGTATTCTTTGAAGGAGACGATTATATTCAAATCAATCTGTATTGACATATCAATAATTTTTTTTTGTCCAAATGCACAGATTGCCACCTTTGATAATAGACGACTCATCTATAAGGCTCATTTGACTGAAACTGGATGCTACACTTTCACACATGTTGCCGTTGTCTTTCTTTAACAGATTAAATATCACATTTGATATGATCCATAAATTTAAAATTATAATTTACAGGTTATCTCAAATACTTTTTACCAAGAAGCAAAAATTAATAGATAAATTGAAACCTAATCAAGAATTATCAGACAATATTGATTTAAAGCCAGTATGGACTGATGATGATGATGGTAAATATACTGCAGCAAATGTCATACCTCAAGCTGTAAGTAATGTTCAGTACACTGAAAAACTTAAACAAAAATATAGAACTATTGTGGGAACACCCAGTTGGGCGGAAATAAAGAAAAATACAGATTGTGAAGATGATGACAAACTGATGAAAACAGTAGGACACATAGTTAAAAAAAAAACCAAAGAACTAAAAAAAGATTTCTTGGAATATAAAATATTACCCAAAATCAACAATGATATTAGTAAAGAAGGTCCTTTGATTAAATGCATAGAATTCCATCCAAAAATGAGTGTATCATTAATAGCTGGACAATCTGGTGTTGTTTCTTTATATTCAATTGGAGGTGACAAAAATGAAAGACTTCACAGTTTTAATCTAAAAAAGTGGCAAATAACTGCTGCACATTTTACACCAGATGGAAAAAGTGCTTTTATAGCCTCTAAAAGTAACCATTCTTACTGTATTTATGATTTAGTGAAGGCTGAAGCTAAACTTGTGCAGTTGCCACAAATCTCAAAGAGGCCACATATTTTTCAATTGTCACCAAATGGAAAATACTTAGCAACATCAGATTGTTTTGATGAAGTATACTTGATAGATACAGCATCTCAAGAACTAATAAGGGTGTTAAAAAATAGCACCAATATAAAATCAGCAGCTTTTAACAGTAACAGCAGTGAATTATATTGCTTTGGTGACCAAGGAATAGTTACAGTTTGGAGTTTATGTACATTTAAATCTCTGAAAAAATTCTATGACAATGGATGTGTAACTGCATCATGCATAACCACTAGTGCATGTGGAAGATTGATTGCTACAGGAAGCGGAGAAGGAATAGTGAACATTTATAAAACATCTGACCTAATGACAAATGAACCTATCCCTTTGAAGACAGTATCTAATATAACAACAAAAATTACATCATTAAAATTTAATTCAACCACAGAGATACTAGCTGCATGTTCTGCCTACTATCCTAATGCTGTAAAATTGATACATATTCCC